TGCATAACATGTCCAGTTCTTATATGCTTTGATATTTTTTGGTTTGATAGCATGTGTGTATTTTAAGTACAACGCCATCTGTTAGCGTCAATCAATATTATGTTAAATCAAGCGGAAGGTCCAACTACCACACTCTTACCGCATCGGGGCGCATGGCGCCACCTTATTGGAGAAATTATAGTAGGCGCGTTATCGCTCAAGGTCATCGACGCAAGGTCATCGACGCTTGTCAGCGTCTTCATAATAATGCATTTATTTAAAATAAAAAATAAAATAAAATAAAATCGCCTTTATTTGACATGGAAAAATGCATTACAAACAATCATAAAATATTAAATAATTCGTTCACATCACAAAAAAAAGCAATAAAAAGAAGAAAAATAACAATAAAAGAACTTAAAACAGACAACCAAAAAAAAGAACGTTAAATTAAATTAAATTAAATTAAAAATTTATTTATTTTCTCAATTAAAAAATATATTTATTTCTCAATTTGGTTCAAAAACGTCAAAAAGGTGCATTACTCAGCATCTGAGGACTATGCTAATTACGTAGCCCTCTCTGATATTCTGCCATGGTCTGTCATAAAACAGAACACCACTATTCCAAAAAATTTCGTGTTTATTACAGTACTATAATTTGTTATGGAATATTTACTGTACACCATGTATTAATGCATGAAAAAATGCATATTTATTCATGCATGGAAAACTAATAGCTTCCAAACAATTAATATAAAGCAGGGATAAAAAGATACCGCCAATATATTTAGAGATTGTAATAGCGATTACGTTTCTTCCTTTAGCACCTACTACTTAAACTTTAAGAAATATACTTTTTTTTATAAATTATGCTTCCACGTGTTACAAGTAAGCGCCTAAACGAACATACAATTTACATAAAGACGATTACAGCATAATAAACAAAAAACTAAATCAACATAACTTCCTTGAAAAACCAATAACTCGTTTTCAGAGGTAAAGAATACCTGGACGTAAAGAATAGTAATTTCACAACACTACATTTCACAGGTATCGATATTTTTTTCACAGGCATAAAAAATACAAATGATTTAAGGGTCAAATGTGAGAACAGTATTGAAATTTGTTGAAAACTAACTACGTTAAGGTTCGATTTTTTATCGAACGTGTTTTTTAACGATCGACATTCGACACAGTGGAATTTAAATTAGGCGTAGAAGCAAATACATTTCTTCAATTTTAACCTTAATATTTATCCATTGCTTACAAGTGGTAGTAACGATCGTCAAAAATTGAGCAAATCTGTACACTTTTACAGCCATTCATAAATCAGCAATACTAGCACGACAGGGCGCGCTCGCTCGCGAAACGTCATAGACGTTCGAGATATTTATATTCCCGCGCTTCAATGTCACGTCTCGCGCCCTGCCGTGCTAGCATTGCAGAGAAAGAAAAAGAGAATGAAAAGACATTGTTTGAAAACCGTCGCCACCTTTATGGCACCGTATAAGCAATAGTAATGATCGTTTTAATAAAAAAGGACGGAACGTCCACTACCGAATTGGACCATTAATATATTTGGTCATGGTTAAAGTATCTAAAATGAGAGAGCTGTAGTTTCCACAGGGGCACAATGCGTATTGTGAACTTTACAGACATCATTAAATTGTTTTTGCAAATGTGTGCAAGATTTCTAACGATTCTTCATCGAAAAGCTCATGGTAAATTCAAATTTAATTTTGCACATAAATCACGAAAATCTCAGAGGTGTAAGCTCAGATTTGAACCCACAGCCCTCTGCTTGAGAGGCAGGTCAAACCGGGCTACTACGGCTTCGGCATCGAAAAACTAATTTCAGATTTTTTATCAGCATGTTAAGGTACTCTGAATGCAGCTAAAATATTTCAGTCTATCTAGATCCTTTATTATTACCTACCAATCTCCATGATAATTAAGTTAAATCACAGTAGTAAACAGAGGAACTCCATAACCAACGTGGAGCCTTAATTTGCATCCCCTCCTATAATAAACATCGGATACAATGACATGTATCTTTGCAATAAAATGTCACTCCGTGCTATGAATTACGGGGTAATAAATACGCAATGTGTCTACTGGTAGGTGTATTCAAATGATAGCGGTTGGGATCGACGGAGTGCTTCCTTCCTCGGCCGCATAGTAATTGGCGAGTTGGTGAGCCAGAGCGGTGGTACTAAATCATCAAAATTATTGCCTATAATGTTCCTAACATTTCGAGGAACGTTCACAATCTGTTGTACCATGGATTCACTTTAACTCGAATAGCTTTGTATTAGTCCGTACCCCGTTGGATGGTAGAAACGGCAATGTTTAAGTTATAAATAATTTTCTTAGGCAATTCAAAGTTTCTCTGTGATTTCAGTTCAATTTGTTGCAATTTTAATACATGAATTTTATAGTCATTATTATGTCGTCATCATCAAACCATTTATACATTCCACTGCTGGGCAAAGGTCTCCTCTCAGGCGAGGGTTTTAGGCCATAGTCTATTCTTTCTTTCTTCATTCATTTTATCCATTCTTTCTTTCTCTCTTCAATTCTGTGTTATTTAAAAAAAACGTTATTTTACTTACTTCGTTGCGTAATTTGGAACTTCGAGGGGGTTAAAAACTGTTTTCTTTTTCATTAATATCAAATGCAATTGTTAACACAACACTCATATGGTCTTTTTATGGTTTTGTATATAAAAGATTTTTGTTTAAATTAATGATAAAACAAATCCAAGTAACAAATAAAGCGAATTTTAATAAAAAGGTACGATTTATCTTCGTATTATTATTTCAATTATATATTAAAGATTGTGAATTGATTAGCGCAATAAGTTAACATCGTGTATAAATACGTATAGAAATGATTCGTTACCACTATCGGGTGGCTCTAGCCCAGTGGTCCGGAATAAATTTCGGTTGAAATCCCACCGATACATTTGTAGGTGTCTTATGTAAGTGGTGTTTTAAGGGTCCGTGAAAGGGGTTCAAGCGTCAGTACATTGTTATTTGGTTTTCCGGATTACACTAACAGTGAATAGGAGTTATGTTGTAGTTTTTATTTTCATATTTCTAGCGCCTTTGTACCTGTGGCGTGGCCGTACTTGAATTGTAATATCAAAGAAACGATCTGATACTTTATGTAATATTTTTTTACATTTTCTTATGATAGTTGAAGAATGCAATATTTCTTACAAAGAGTAATAAATAGCATTCGACGATTTGCACCCTTCACGTAATAAGGCCACAATTGCAAAATGAGAACATTTCAGACGAGGTTTAAGAGCGGTTACACACGGTGATTTTAGCAGCGATGCAGATGCGATGCAAACGCGATGCAGTAGCTAATCGTCTACCTTTACATAAACGCGCAACTTTACCAGCGATGCCAACGCGCGACTGCATCGATGCAGCAGCGCGTTTGCATCCATATAGTCGCGAGTTTGCGTCGGTGCAATCGCTTATAAATCACAAGTGTAGCGATGCAATCGCACGTTTGTATCGATGCAGTCGCGCGCTTGCATCGCAGCTAAAGTCGCGCGTTTGTGTAAAGGTAGACGATTAGCTACTGCATCGCGTCTGCACCGCTGCTAAAAATCGCCGTTTGTAACCGCTCCTAAACCTCTTCTGAAATGTTCTCATTTTGCAATTGTGGCATTATTACGTGTAGCAAATCGCAAGTGTAGCGATGTTGCCATGTGTAACCACTCTAAAGACGGACGAAATTATTCGATGAGTTATTTATGCTTAAAGGGGATAGTTCTTAAATTTCACACAATATACATAGTCTGTTTCATGTAGCTCGTGTTATTTTTATGACTTTCATATGATGTGCTTTTATTATACCAAGGATAAGTACTAATTAATTTTTATACGACCATTTTTCATTAATTTAAGTATTTCCACTTCCACTTACATTGGCACATCGCCGTGTCGACCTTCAATTGGAGCAGAATTCAGTATAAGTCTCTGTGTCACTGTTTCTATTTTGCTATATATTTAGTCCATGTCTTGTTGGTTATTCAAAAAATAAACAAGTAAATATTTCGTTAAAAAGTAATAAAAAAACACATAACATAAATTTTCTGCAGAATGATATACAGGTGCTTGAATTCGTACCTTTGGTGTTATAATACCACATCTGGAAAAACTTTAAAGCAGAGAGTTAGATGATGATAGGAACGAGATTAGTCGATACTTTTTTATGCTTAAATGGGAGAATTATAGAATTTCACATACATAATTTGTTTCATAAAGTTATTTTATAATTTTCAAGCGATAAAAGCACTTTTGACATACGATCATATTGTGACTTTATTAAATAAACCAAGGGTCATCGATTTATATGTTGAAGAATGTTTGCGAGAAATTCCAAGTCATTTACTGCAACTGGAATTTTATTTATAAAGTTGACTTATTCGAGTATGCGTATGATTTTATTGACTTAAAGCTTGTGTAAGTCAAGAACCCATTACGCTTGACTTTTTGGAATTTTGTCCGTTCTTATTGCAAGCGTCCTATAGTTGAATTTAAATCTTAATTATATTTATAAAAAAAATGTTGTATATTGACTTCCATTTCACCTGATGGAAAGTGAGGACAAGGTCGACGATATGGCATACACACCTCAATAATGCTTATTCCAGTTGTCTTGAAAAGGTCCCAGTTATAGCATTTAGGAAAGTGATTTCCGCTTCATAGTCGTTCCCTATATAAATGTGAAAGAGTAAGGTTTTGTGCGAATTTTCGAAATATCCACAATATAGGGATGGAACCCCAGCCTATATTTAGTCCCCCAATGATGGAAAGGGGAAACCGGAATTAATTCGTACATTTCCATCGCACACTCCCCACGATATATCATGTGAATGTCTACAACTAACTAACTATAGAATATAATAGTAATATCATCATGATACAATATCATGACAATTTCCAACCGGCCGTATTAAGTACCCAGTACCCACTTCATCAGTTAAATTAATGAACTTACATTGGACTCTCAACTTGACGAGCTCACTGGCAGTCTCTCCTCTAGCGTTAGCCGCTTTGCAGGTATATGCTCCTGCTTCTCTTCTAGTCACCTTCTGTAGCACGAGTGACCGCGTGCTGATTATTACTCCGGATGATATATTGTGGGTTACTTGTTTGTCCTAAGTGGATAAGTAAAAAAAAATATTATTAAAATGCATTAACCCTTTGCGCAAATGCGTCTTATATTAACTAGGCCAATGACGCCTTAAAGCGTCAAAGAAACCCTTTAATTCTCAAATTCAAGCAGCCAAGCAGGCAAATTCTTTCACCACGATGGCAAGCATTAGTGTATGTCATCGATGTGATAAGAAGAAGAAGACTAATTAGTTAATGATCAATTATTTTATGAATCTCTTCGTGTGGAAAATCCAAATCGCACTTAATGTAGAAAATCCAAGTGTCATGATTACCAAAGTAACAAATTTACCTTCAAGGAAGAAACTCATCATCAAGAGACCACAGCACTAACCTGGGTTAGCTTGACGTGCATGGTGTTTCAGAAACATTTATATGAAAATAACTTTTCACTTTGTGTTATTCAAATCATAGGCTCATAAATTCCAGCTCAATACAATCATTGGTATATAATCATATATATATATATTATAAAGTGAAGGGACGAACAAATCGTGCGCTTGATGTTAAGCTACTCGACTGTCCATACCAGTTCCAGTGCCACTCAGAGTTTTAATTCGCAAAGATCTGAGGGGCACTGCCACTGCGCCCGTCACCCTATTGACAAATCTAATGAGCCTGTCATTTCACCAGCACCCTTATACCCTTCAAAATCAGAACACAGTAACCCTCACATTATTGCTTGGCGGCAGTAACAGATAAGGTGGCAGTACTTCCCAGGACGAACTCTTTCACAAGGAGCTCTACTGCTACTACATAGGTATATCGTCGGTTAAAAGGTAAAACTCACTAATAGCCTAATTGGCCAAAGGGAGATAATTAAGATTTTGTATTTTTTCATTATGAAAAATCACTAAAGGACTGGTATGTATTAAAACATGAAGGACACCACAGACTTACTGAATTTTTCTTGTCATAGATGTTCTTCCCAATAAAGCAAAATTGAAAAAATCTAGTTTTTGAACAAAATGTCACTTAATGAGTTTTACCTTTTAACCGACGATATACACTCTAACAATGGTGTGATTCTATCTATTCTTCTTCTTTTTTACATATTGCTGGTACCCTTTTGCAGATTTCGCTAGCGTCAAGTTTGTAAAAATGAAGCCGCGAGTCGCCAATATTCAGTTTGGAAGTCGTGATTTAACGCCTAAGTGAAAAAGTTCAGAAAACTAATTTTTTACAACTCACATTATGAAACCACGTAATCCGATATTCTTTAGGGTTAGCCCGCACGTTGCATTCAAAGTACACGTCATCACTCTCCTCGATTTCATTCGGATTAAGCGTGCTGCCAAGACTTAATGTCACCAGTGGGCTGTCTGAAAGATAAAGTTTAACGGTAACACAAATATGGTCAATAATTTTTAATTTCCACGTCTGTAAGAACTATTGCGATGAATATTGATGGGCAATCCGTAACACAATCGAAAAAGGCTTAGGCCCCACTTTCTGCAAGAACTGCGTCCGCACTTATGTTTTAAGTGTGGTACCAACACTCTTACCTATTAATTGTGCTGATGTAACTACATTTAAAACATGCGTTTAGTAACACCATAAAGAAATTCTCTATAATAATATAAATATAAAAATATAAGAGAGGAAAACAATAGTGTAGTAAGTGCAAAAAAAATCTTTTTGGTAGGTACGGAAATACTACACACACTGGTCACGGCATTGATATTACCACGAGATACTTTTATGTTGTTTATTTTATAAAATCCACTGTTATTTTACACAACTACTACTTTACTTTTAAACAACTACCATTGTAATTCCGTGACTCTATTGGTGCTGCGACAAATAGTTAATCATATTCACATAATTTTAATACTAACTAAGTGAAAGTAAAATGAGATAATACTAACATACAACATTGAGCTCAATCTGGTCTTCGACAGTTCTGGAAGGCAGCGCAGCGTTGCTTGCCGCACATTTCACAATGACCCCATTGTCGGAAGGGTCAGGCTCGTAGGTCAGAGTGCTTACAGTCCACGTTTCATTGGAATACTCTGTCACCTAGGACGATATTGTTAATGCAATCAGTCAACAGGTAAAACGTCATATAAGGTACCTAACAGGAGCGAATTTCAAAATTTGTAGTAAGTTTCTAAATTGCAATATTGATTCATTGAATATCATGATATTTAGGTACTACAATGATATTCGTATGTTTTTGTGAAAATACTCCAATAGTTAATTATTATCAAAGGTGAGAGTGATGCCCCGGCATGGCAACAACAGACGTTGGTTAAAGTATTATTAGATCGAAGGAATTTTTCTTTGTGTTTTCGATCCTTGTGTCCCAATAAAACATAACATTTTTATCAGCTATGTAAAATAAATAGAATAAAATCGAATGCTATATATGGAATATATTTTTTGATATAATATCAAGTGACAGGAGAAAGAAGATCGTGCACCTGATGGTAAGCTACACGCCTGTTCTGATCTGAGGGGTACTTCCACTGCGCTCGTCGCCCTGAGAGGTAAGTTGACAAGTTCCATGTGTCTGTAATTTCATTAGCACCCTTATCCTTCAAAACCGGAACTACTCAATAATGCTTGCCATCGTGGTGAAAGGATTTGCTATCGACTTTAAGGTACTCGCCGATTGTTGCCCAGAGAGGCTCCTTTCATGCTCCCCTAAAGGCCGGTGACAAAACTATACACAATAATGTTGACATAAACACATTCGTCAGAATTGCTGACGCGATCTGTAGTTTAGTTGGTTAAGAGAGCAAGGTTACAGAAACTGGTTCCAGTCCAGCCTGATCGAAGGAATTTTTCTTCATGTTCGATCTTTGTATCAATAATAATAACAAACTAGTGGAGAATTTTCACAAAAACTGTATGGATATCATGGTAGTAAAACGTCATGGACTGATCAATAAATAGACGCTGTAGTTCAAATAAGAAAGTAGTATTTTTGTTTTCTTTAAAAAACACAGCTACATCAGTTTCCAGGAAGATTCTAACGATAAAATGTAGTTGAAATAAACAATAAAATTGAGGCTAACAAGGCAAAGTAAAAATAGATTTCTCATGAAATCTTTTTTTTTTATAATATCTAGAGTAACGGAGCTAACAATTCGTGAACCTGAGGGATATGCCAAAATGAGAAAAAAATTACAGCTGCTATTTTTGTTATTTTCTTTAAAGAATTCAGTGTTTTGTTTAAGTAATAATTCAGTTTAGTAAAATAACCATATAAACATGTTTCACATTTATTCCTTATCGAAAACGACCCAATCCCTATAGATATTGTCCAATTGCTAGATATTATATTGAACAATAGCTGATGTTCATTCTTGAAATTAAATGGCGACGGTACAGTGTTTTCATATCAAATTACAATCAGTATTCATTTATAGCCAGGTGAGGTAAGGGAAACGTAATTTATTTTGAGTCGAAAGGTTAGAGCTCAGGAAGAACCGAGTCTTATAGGAATTTTTAAGCGCACCAAACTTGCCTTTGTTTATCAGTTTTACGTGTTTTAATAATCGTTACGCTAAGTACAATACCTACGATGTATTTGCTGAAAACGAGCAAATTATGCTAAATTTTCTCTTCACCGAATGGTGAAAAACTGAATAGTTTTTTCCATCCTCTAAGCTCCCCGAAAAGATGCGATAGGAGGAGGAATGGTATATAGTATTTCATGAGTATTTCTTATAAAAGTGTTTATGTTTTTCTCAAGATTTCATAACTGCCAAATTTGTTTTCTCCGCCTTTTGGATTTTGAGAAACGTAGCGACATCTCTTTAAAATTGTTTAAACTAATTTGTTTATCTGTTTTATCGACTGAGATACTGTAGTGCTAAACTATTTGTATTATGAGTTAAAGCTTCAAATCTCTCCTCTCCAGGTGTTCCCCTTATCCGACCTCACCCTATTTAACAAAATCTAATATAAAACTAATTACTTACATTATGTAATTTTCGTTTCAAAATAAAATCGTGTTCGAATTGGTGAAAAGTCGATATTGCCCTCAATCGCTGAAGGTTACTTAATGACGCTTAGTGGGTATATTTCTATGGTTGACCTATTTCGAATTGGTACGGGCTTATTTTCTTTATTTTAGTTATAACCCGTAATGCGTTTACTGTTAAGTTTTTGGTGTCGGTGATTGTCAGGAAATTGATTTTGATAGCGAGTGATTAGCGGTCATAACACGAGCAGCACGTGTGACTTAGGGCCTATGCACACAGTGTATTTTTTACGCGCCTTTACGGCAACGTAAAGGTTCAAAAAGCAGATTTTATTCGTTTGTATCGATACGAACGCAACAAACGCGAGTGTAAAAGCTATACAAACGTGCATAAGAAGCGCGTACGAAGCACATTCGAAATTCGTATTGCGTTTAGGTTTTTGGTCGAGCCTTTGAATCGATTCAACAACAACAATATCGCGTTGGAAGGCTGAGGGGGCGCGTGCTCCGCCACCCGCAATTGTCTGGATCGCCTACGCGCAGATGACGTGCGTTTCATAAACGCTCGTTTACGGCGGCAACACTGAATTTCTGAAGGTATACAAAGGTTTACTGGCTGCAACTGAATCTCATTTGTGTAAATCTAAGATCAGTGGTGAAATTACAAGCACATGGAACTTGTCAATTTATGTCCAAAGTGACTGGCGCAATGGCAGTGTCCTTCAGGCCTTTGCGATTTAAAGCTTTGAGTGCACTGCAGTTGCAAAATGTATGCAAATGGACAGGCGTGTTGCTTAACACCAGGCGCACAACTTGTTCGTCCCGTCATTTGGTATCATAAAAAAATATAACGCGTTAACACGCGCCATCTGTACGTGAAATATATGCCATGTGCACAGGCCCTTAGAGCTGCCGTACAGTATTAATTTTCACAGCGCGCGTATTCTGTGCGCCAGCATTATATCTTTTCAAGCTCATGGTGAATATTCAATAATACTACAATAGGGAGTCTAATATTACCACGTATGAGATCGTACCTTATTCTTATCAAACTGCTTGCCAGCCTTGAACCAAATGATACGAGCAGGAGGTCTGCTCCCTTCGGTGACGCATCGTAGTGAGGCCACCGAGTTGGCGATCAATTGGGTAGGCCGGTCCACTAATGATATAGAAATCGGTGCCACTAGAAGAAAAAACATAGATATAGTACAACTACGATAAACTTACAGACTAATATACTTTAGCTAATAAGTTAATACAGTCAGGGTTTAGTGGCAGTTTTTAAGTAGGTACAATTTCTGCCGCCAAGCAAAAATGTGGGCATTAGGTACTGCCTTCCTATTTAGAAGAGATGACTTTTTTCTCTCAGACAACTTTGTGAGTGACGGGCGCAGTGGTATTGCAACTTTTATGCGTAAGCGTGTCAGTTACCACAAAGTAATGTTCTGTTCAAATATTCATCTCGTAGCTTGATATCATAAAGAAAGCACCCAAATGATGTGATTGCTCACGAAGCAATCATGATAATAATTAAACCTTTAATAAAAATCAATCAATCAATGTAATTAAAGTGGGACAACGAAAAATTAAAAAAATAATGTTAAACGTGAACCCTCGTAGGGAAATTAAATAGCTTGTCTTGGTGGAATGTTAAAAGCCGACTTATGTTATATTGATGATTTTCTACAACAGCGAGCTGTCTACTGTATAGTTTAAAAAACTCAAAAATAAAACAGTATAGTCCATATTATAAGCTAACAACTCGTTGAGACCAATTTAATGGGCCTAAGCACGCACTGGATATTGGATATGGATTATTAGATACGGAGTTGCCCTACTTGTTTTTATTCCACTATGGAACAAATGTTCATCAAACATATCTAAGAATTATGCTGATAAAATAAGCCTTCAAGTGAAAAACCTCCTTGAATTCAGTCCATTCATTTGAGAGCTACGTTGCCACGGACAGCAGACAGACACACGTGTACAGGGTTCTTTGTAGAATACTGACAAACTCGCAAGACTATATTATTGACATCATAAACAATAACTTTTTCATCTCCCTAAGTCGGAAAGGCTTTCGTTCTCATTAAAAATCGCGCAGATTTTTAATGAGAAAGAAAGCATCTCAGTAATAGTTATTTTTGATACAAGTGAGGAAAGTTAGTCATTATTCACGAGTCTCGAGGCTTCGACTGGAGATTCGAGACAAGTGAAAATGACAAATCCGCACGTGTATAAAACGACGTTTTTTAATACATTTGCGAAAAAACTACATTGAAAGTAAAATGTTGAATGAGAATGACTGACGTCACAAAGCACATAAATATTAAATAAATATACAACCTGTTTAGTTCTATGTTTAAGACTTGAAATTAAAAAAATGGAAAAGTAAAAAGTACTAGTGCGAAAAATACACCGCACGATTTGTAGTACGAAAAATACCCATACCAATACACGTTGTGAGCAACTGTATTAAAAAAGCATTTTTTGCACGCTAATGTGGAAAAGGTTCTTGAAATTCGAACTCGACGATGGACTGTGGTGCACCTAATGCACCTAAGCGTTGATTCATATTGCGGAGACGCTAAGCGACGCGGCGTTGCGCTGCATTAAAGCGAGCAATGCAACATAAACTTTAGCTCTTGGTTCCGGGCTCGATTCCGGGTAGAACCAATTTTGAAAATGATTTTTTTAAATGGTATTAGCCTAGGTGTTCAGAGTAGTGCCGCGGAGCGAATTCCGTAGCCTTCAATCCCGGGTTCGATTCTCGGTAGAACCAATTTGGGAAATGAACTTTTCTAAAGTGGTTTTGGCCTATGTGTTCTGGATAAACTTGAACTAAATAATGAAACAAAGGGGATGAACCTATACCTGTTCGGTTGTCAGACAACAGCCAGTGCCCCTAGCATAACGCCCTAATAAACCTATTATAGCCACATTTAGCTGTCAAAAGTTGATAAAACAGCCATTTTTAATTTTTTACTATAGCTAGTATGGCGAGCACCGTGACGTCGACGACGACGACTTTTGACGCACAGCGCGGGCCGCGATCAATGGTCGCGAAAGAATAATACAGTGTCAAACATGGTGACAGCTGATTTTAAAACATTTTGACGGTACTATACAGTAATTTTATAAGCATAAAAATTGAGCGCGATAAACGAAATAAAAAGATACAGCATGCATAGTATGGCAGCATATCGCATGCAATCTGTGATAAACGTCCCCGTGACATATTTATTGCACTCGATAAAGCAATGTTGCCATTATTAAAATTTTATTTTCTATTGCAAATACTGAATCGGTGATATACACCACTAGTATAATTTCTTATTTTGTTTATTTGATAAAGAACAATTTTTTGCTTCGTCGTTTTACAATGATGCAATTAAAAGGATTACAATTTCTGATGATTAAATGACAAAGTTAGCTATATGTGCAATTTCATATCGCTATCCTTGTTCTGCAAAATATGTAACAAGCGCTCATTATCACGTAAACTAAAAAACGAATGGCTTTATTGCGGTATCTTACCGATTCACAATTAAAAAAATTAAATTTTAACAATGGCAACATAGCTTTTGGAACTTTTGACTTACAACTGTTCCATGTGGAATTGAGTACATGAAATAAATAAACCACTTTATCAACTGCATTATATATTTCAGATGGAGACTTATCACATATCGTATGCGATATACCGTCATGCTACGCATGCTGGTCTTAAACAAGGGAACTCTCTGTACTCCTTATGAGTACCAGAACAACGGAATCCAAACAGGGGCATTACCAGAATACCTAAGCCAAAAACACTTTAGAAAAGTTTGTTTCCCAAATTGGTTCTACCGGGAATCGAACCGGGAACCTTCTCATGCAGTGCCGACAGTGCAAATCGTTGAGCCACTGAGATCATCTTATTTGGACTATATATTAATTGCATGTAAAATCTACAAATAGCATAAATAGTTGTAGACACTTGATCAGCTGATAGCTGGCTTTCAAAAAAATATACGTTATTGTTGAGACGCTAAGTTACACTTTGCATTGTCAGAGGCGAAACAAGTGACTGCGCGGTTTTACTCTTTTGTTTTTTGTTGTTTGAAGAAATGTGTACTTTATGTGATAGGAAATATGTTCCATAGGATTTTCTAAAGTGCGCTTGTCGCAGCTCGCTGCAGCCCGTCGCCGCTTGCTATAGCCCGTTTTCATTTTTTTGTTAAATGAAATATTGCCTTATTTTGTAGAGGATAAAGTTAATGTCGCACTGCATGCTTTAATGCAGCGCCGCGCCGCGCCGCGCCGCGACACGTCGCTTTGCGTTACGTCTCGGCGATATGAATCAAGTCTAACTTTTTCTTTCGATGTAAGAAAAACATAATGAGACGTTCAACTACGCAATTATATTACTGAATTTATGTAATATAAATACGTTGGTATATTTTATTTTTACTATTGTTGACATTAAATTGACAACGATAACTAATTTTATTTATTAAAACTGACTTGTTATAGTTTTCCTGTTTTTCTTTCAACCATCATTTTCCTCGCTATAGTGAGGTGAAAAGTTGTGTGTTTCGCTCGGCAGCAGAGTTGTTTCGCGTCTCGTGGCTTGAAACCTTCGCTACGCTCAATTCAATCTTAGCTTCCTTCGCTTGCTCAGGTTTCAACACAAGTACTTGCGTCAAACAACAACTTTGCAGCCTTGCATAACAAATAAATATTGTTCGATGACTTTTTATAAAACGTAATAAATTTACCAAAAATAAACTTTTTGTGTAGTCTCTGACATTTTTTAGATCTGTACTTTTAGCAAAGCCTCCCGCGTGGCTGCCATTCATAAAAACAATTTTGGTGGTGGATGCTTTCTTTTGCTACCGCACAAAGTGGTCTATTGAAATCTTTTATTTTTGTACGAAAATAAAATCTGATGAATTATTGAAAGGCATGGAACAAAAGCGGTTGTTTAAGATATTAGAGTTGTTATTGTTTTTCAGATAACACTGTTTATGACGTAAAGGCTGCAAACTTTAACTTCCCTCCTTTTGTGTAAGGAGTCAAAAAACTAAATCGTACCTGACGCGTAAAGCGGGTGAATCTTCAAGTGATTACTTTAACATATAAAACGGTGTCTACTTCACAAAAAAATGTTGCACAATGTATTTAAAATAACTGTGTAAAGGTGAAAAATTAACTAGTTTGGGCCATTATTATTGAAAACCAGTAATATACGTAGATGTCAAACAAATGTCCGCTGCCACATAAGAACATGATGACTTTCGACTTTCCTAAACAAAATATGTAACGTAAAATGATTTTTAATTGCGATCATAATTAGGTTCATTGTTCATTTCATTATTGTTAAAAGTCAGATGTTGTACACAGTTGTCTTGAATATAAACCACACGAAAAATGTGTACCATAAGGAACAGTCCAGTACCCTCTTTAACTCACAATGACCGCGTCATTTCGAATCCATCTTCGGTCCGTTTGTACTAGAAGTACAGTTAGAGCTAGTTTATAGTTGACAGAAAATATACAAACACTGTTCAAATTGAGTCGAATAAAGGATGTGTTGTAGATAATTTGACTTACAGTTCATCTCAAGACGCACACTCTTGTCCTGCGGTGGCATTAAATGGGTATTCGCCGCTCGACATTTAAACGTGGTATTCAGATCTTCTCGTTTCAAATGTTGTAGCTCTAACCGATTCACCATCACATGAGTGTCGGTCTTTACACCAATATATTGAGGCGCCGGCAAATTGTCTATTAACCAGGTTACTACTGGTTCTGGACGACCTGTAGAAAGACAACGTTTCATTAAAATATTTAGGCTTTATTTTGTACTATGAACCTTTACTCTTCTACCTCAGAAAGAGCAGTAGGGGGAAAAAGTATATTTGTATAAGTGTTTTTTTTACCGTTTTTTTACCGTTTTAACAATTTTATCGTAGTCATTTTTTTGGTCAAGGGTGAACTGTCCATAAAAAGGAATAAAATTGAATTTTTTTTAGTGCTGATCGACTCACTTTTATTGTAAAGGTCATTTCATAGTATGGGACTCTCGGGTTTCTCTCAGAGAATAGTTTAAGGAGACTGGTATCATGACTGTGACATCACAGTACATTTACTCAAATATTTTATATGCCCGTAAAAAATATACATAATTTCAATAAGAAAGAAGATATCCATAATATTAATCTTAAAGCTAAGTCCAAACTCATGGTACCACGATTTCGTTTAACCAAGGTAAACAACTCTTATGGGGAACTGTATACATTTTTACAATAAGATTCCGGAGCATATATTAAGTTTATCATTTCCTAAGTTTAATAACTACATTAAAAATATTTTGATCGAAAAATCATATTACAAAATTAAAGACTACGTGTTAGATAAAGATATATATATATATATATATGTGTATGGAAAGACGACACGCCTCCAGAATCCACACAAATTTGATTCGAAGTGTATTCCATAGCATTTAAGTTTATTTGAAAAGAGCAATCCCTAGAGTTTCTTGCTCGTTCTTCTCAGGAAGGTCAGCGTAGTGAACGAGCAGTAGCTTAAATGTGACGTTTTTAAGTGTAAATTTATTTTACCTATGGAATAAATAATCTTTAACTTTGACTTTGACTTTGGTCAAATTGAATACAATGATTTTTCACACAGAATGCTGTTAAAAGTAATGATGGAACTGAGAAAACGCGATTTGATAATTGAAAGAATAAACCTGAATGAATCTTATTGCGAATAATAGGATTATTTTTATTTATACTTAATAATTAGTCATCCACGAAAAAAAGGGAATATAAATTTATTGTATATTCAGTAATATTTTGAAATTACAAATCGTACTTTCTGAAATCCACCATTTTTGAGTTACGACAGCATGTGGTTTCATGTGCGATATTAGTATTTCTTTTACTCATCCTATAGTCTAAAAGGCTAATGGATTTTAATGTGTAAAGTATTGTAAAATGATCCCTTGAGTGACAAGAAATGGTAAATTCTTTGTGAAATAGGATCGAAAAAGGTTTCCGGAAAAAAAGGTGCTGCAATCTGGTGAAAATTAGCTACAGGGTTTTCCCGGGCCCTTAATTTAGAACATTTTTTCCTAAATGGCCACGAAACACGGTAAATTCCTATATAAGGTAAATATAATAAAAGCAAGGCCAATAACGACATCATTAGTTTATCAAATACTTAAATGTACCTTGATGTGATAATAAAAGCATTTATTTTTAATTTAATTTTTAATTTTATTTAATGAGCCCAAACACGATAGTTCTACTATAGAAACATACCTAAGTACCATCCCGATTAAACTAACTTTCAAAAGACAAAAAAGAACCGATTTGAGATCAGTCCATCCGTTTGAGAGCTACGATGCCACAGACTGACAAAAATAGACAGACAAAGGCTTCAAACTTCTAACTCTTTTTGCGTCGAGGGCTAAAAATGGATATAGAAATATCACAGAAACGACGGAAAGCAATTGCTTAAATAAGAACTCCTTGAAAAAGACGCGCTCACGAGAAACCTAACTCAAGAGTAAGCGACGAACTGTCGAAAGAAGATGGGCGGAGGGATTTTCATCATCTTTACACTTGTTTATAAAATCCAATGTTTGTTAGGCAAAACAGGACCAATATCGAAGATCGGTCATGTCACTCTTGGCCTTATACTCTCGTTCTCCGTTGACATCCGTCCGAAACAATTACTGTCAAATGAGTAATACTTGACCAAATGAAAAGACGCATGATGCGAATGAAGCTTCATACTTGACAATGTGTGTCTCGAGAACGAGAGTTGGGTCCCTTGGATCGGTTCCGCCGAATATCACGTCAGATGCTTGTAAGTACACCTAGGGCGCACTAGGTGGAGTTGGCACGCTATAAAACAATAATTATATATATAATAATCAACTGCTTAGGGCGTATTTTTTACGCGTGAATGTTTTGGAGATGATGCGCGTTAACTCGAATCAAACGAGATTTACTCGCAGCCTGTAATCTTTTGCATACACTCTTACTACAACCCTACGGTGCAGTAAACCTACGTTTAAAAACACTGCGCTCTTGTATACAGTAATAAGGATAGCTTTCAAGTAAACGTAGTTTATAGAACATATTTATACATGTAATAACCAAAAGTCTTACGCACACCGGTTTATTGAATTTTTTATTACATTACATTATCGTTTTTTTAGCCGTACTTATAGACGTCGTTAAACATGGCTGTATTAATTGACACAAAATTTTGTCTTCCATTCATATTGGATATGTCCATGTTAAGAAATACAATCTACTACATTAAGAAAAGAAGAAATGTTTTAAGGTATACAATGTACAACTAAGAGACGATTACTCCTGAGCTATAAGAAGAATAAATGTTATATCAGTCGTCAGCCACCTACAACTTCTAATATAATATTTAGTATTTTTTAAGGAAAATATTAAGGATATTTTGTTTTATAGATATTTATTATTCATTTATCTATTTAAAGTAGTCACATAATATTATAGATAGATAGATAGTCAATGTACAATTATTAATACAAAGACCAAACACAAAGAAAAATTACTTCGATCTGACAGGATAAGTCATGTCTTGTCAGTACGAAAGAATTTTTCTTTGTGTTCGATATTTGTATTAATAATTATAACAAACTCGTGGAGTAATTTCACAAAAATAAATTAATATCATGCTAGTAAAACATCATATTCATTACAATCAATAGTATAGTCAAAATATACTTATAGATATTGTCGAGGACAGACCCTCTTTATAGTTTTTAGTAATTAGTCTATGTTTAGTTCTTTGTCTTTGTCCTTTTCTATACTCTGTGCTGGCTTCTTCTTCTGCTTTTCTTTACTGTCTGTTTCCTCTATAATAATACACCTTTTTCCTCCCTAAACATCCGTTTCCTTCGCTGTCCTCGATAGATATATTAACATATATTATACAACACCTCAACAGGGTTCGTTTTTGTACGAGATACATTTCTATGTACCCTCCATGATGCAACTACATAAATAATTTTATCATATTGCATACACCTTAAGGATAAAGATAATATGGAAATTTGGTCTCGCTCCAAAACAACCTTACGATTTCCTCGTCCACAACGAAGACACTATTTCCGTTGTGAAACCTGGCAAACGTGAGGGAAGTTCTATATTTAACTTATCCTTTTAGATGGCTAGGACAGCAGCAAGCATCTCATAATAAATAAAGCTACTTATTGCCGTTTACTGCTTATTTTTTTAATTTAAATGTTTACTATCTATGTACATAACATTTTATATTCTTATATATCATATTAGACAACATCACATACGTTGTTCTGATCACAAAGTAAGTAACTAAGCACTTGTGTTATGGAAATCGAAAACAACGACGGTACACATTAAACACTCAGACCCGAGACAACAAAGGAAAATTAACTTTTCTACATTAACCCGGCTGGAAATCGAAACCGGAACATCTTTTTTTTTAACGTACACACTCAATATAGTCCCTGAGATCTGACCTACCATCTGAGATGGCAACACCATGAAAACGGGTGTGCAAACCACTCGACTCGGTCGTCATAACTAGTTGATTAACTGTAATTTATATTTAATAATATAAATTGTAATATTCCATTGTGAACGAAGATTAATTCCCATCTTTTTAGACGAAATAAAAAGCGCAGATATAAACATAAAATTAGTCACATATTGTAATTATATGTAATTTGTAATTGTATGTAATTATTTTCGTGAAATTACTGCTCTAATTTGTTATAATTATTAATACTGAGATCGAATACAAAGAAACATTCCTTCGATCTGACAGGACTCGAATCTGTGTCTGTTTTGCCGATCTAGGGTCAACGCTTTACCAACTAAGCTACAGATCGAGTTAGCAGACCTTTCGGTATATTTATTATATTATATACTTATTAAAACTGAAAAACAAATATATTACAGATATAGATGCTATTCTTTTCCATGAAGATACATGGGGTCAAGTGGCTGAGACCGCAGAGCAGGGTTGTCGCCGATTGGTTTCAAAGCAATTTGCTGACTCTAAATGTTTCCAAAACCAAATTGGTATGTTATCATAAATCAAAAGCCTCTGCGCCATCTGGTTTCCCTAATGTTGGTGGATTGGATTTCCCTGGTGAGCTGATTGACAGAACTACTGCAGTCAAATACCTCGGTATCGTTTTTGGTGAAAAACTTGATTTTCGACAACAAATATTAGCCACCGCCAATCGTATACGCAAACTGATATACGTATTAAAAGTCTACGCAACTCTGCTGACAGAAAGCTGCTCAGGATCGTCTACATCAGTATCTGCCAATCGGTCGTATCATATTGCATAACCGCTTGGGGTTAAAACAAATATGCTGTTGATAGAGAAAGCTCAGCGAGCTGTTCTCAAGGTAATCCTCAAGAAGCCGATGAGGAGAGAAGAAGATGAGGTATCCAACGAAAAATATATACAGAGACATGGAGTGGTCTTGAGTGTTCGCGGAGTGGTCGTATTGCGATTGATGTTGAGGGAACATGTACGTCTCAGAAGTTCCCCTAACTATACATATATGCTTCAAAAATGTAAATTTAGAATCCCAGTGCCCCCAAGAAGAACTGCTTTTGCAAATAGATTCATTCCTTTTCTTGATCCTTTTGTTTACAATAGTGTTAGTGTCATAGTATCCTTAAAGGGGTGTTTAGTTTGGGAAGTGAAAGAGAAAGTGCAGAAGTGGCTCAATACACTATACTATGAGGATATTGAGGAAATA